GCCTATGGTTTTTTTTTTAATAGTCTGATAATCTTACTTGGAGTTTTAAGCCATTTACACTTATTTTAGTTATCTAGTGCTGCTATAATAAAAATACTACTAGTGGGTGGCTTTAATGAACAGAAATTTATTTTCTCACAGTTTAGGAAGCTAGAAGTCTGAATTCAGGGCACTGCCTTTAGGGGAGGGCTTTCTGTCTCTGTCAGCTCTGGGGGAAGGTCCTTGTCTCTTTCGCTTCTGTTCCTTGGCGATCTTCATGTGGCTTAACATCTACTGTATTTTTATGCAAATAACACATGCTGTCAACATTTGCCAACCGTGCCCTCCCCCTGCAAGGTATTTTTGTAAGTGTGGTATGCTAATTTTTTTTTTTTTTTTACAGCAGCATGTAAAAAAAAAAGGCATAACAGTGCTTATGAAAATACTTTGCAGGGGAGGGAGTGGTTGGCAAACAAATGTAAAGGCGCACATTATTGCATAGGGTATGGTATTTCCCCCCATCTGTGTTGCTTGCTTCTGTGCCTAATCTGCTCTTTTATATCTCAAAACTGATTGAGTTTAAGACACATCCTATACTCATATGGCCTCATTAACATAAAAAAGAAAACCCTTGTCCCAAATAGGATTACATCTACAGGTATAGGGGTTGGGATTTATGACATATATTTTTGGGAGACACAGTTTAATCCATAACAACATTTTACATTTAATTAGGGTATAATTGGGTATATATTTACTATCTTGGTCATCTTTTAAATGCGCTTTTCCCCTACTTTCTTGTCTTCTTTTGGATTGATCAAATACTTTTCTATTAACTTGTTATTCATTTTTCTTCTGGTCCTTTAGTGGTTACCCTAGGATTACAATATATATTCTTGATTTACTACAGTTTAATACAAAACATTACTTATATTATATCTCCAAATACTGCTAGGACCTCAGTTTTAACTCCATTTATTGTTTCCCACCTTTTGTGTTATTGTTGTCATGCATTTTAGTTGTATAAGTATTTTTAACTCCCCAGGTCATTACAATGATTGGCTTACCCTCATATTTGCCCTTTCTATTTTTATTTACACTTTTTGCATTTCTGTGTCTCTCTCAGGTCATTTTCCCTCTGCCTGAAGTACTCTAAATGTGAGCCTGCTAGCAACGTAATTCATTATTTTTTGTTTCTCTGAAAAAGTCTTTAATTCACCTTTATTTTTGAAGGAAATTTTTGAGGATTTGAGAGTTCTAGGTTGGTTCTTACCTTTCAAGTGCTAAAAAGAAACGTGCCACCATTGTGTTCTGGCTTCTGTCATTTCTATTTAGAAGTAGAAGTCAGCCATCGGTCATATTGTTACTTCTTTGTAGATAGATGTATCTTTTTCTCTCAAGCTGCTTTTACGATTTTTTTTCTTTCTAGAAACAGTTTGACTATGATGTCCTCAGGTGTATTTTTCTTCAAATTTATCCTGCTCATGGTTTGTTAAGCTTCTTGAAGCAGGGTGGCTGTCTTTCATCAGTTTTGGAATCCTAGCCATTACGTCTTCATATATTTTTTTCTGATCCATTATTCCTTTCCTATCCGTCTGGGACTCCAATTTCATGTGTACTCTACCCACTATACATGCCCCACTTGTCTCTTATCTGCTTTCTCATTTTTTATTCTTTCTGTTCTTCACCCTGAGTGTTTTTTATAGTTGATATTCTAGGCCACTAATCTTGTGTTCTGCTGTTAAACCCACCTATTGAGTTCTTAATAACAGATGATTTGTATTTTTCTTACAGATTCCAATTCTCTGGTGAAATTCTCCATGCTTTAATCTTTTTTTTTTTCTTCCTACTTTCTTCAGCATATTAATTAGAGTTATTTTAAAGTCCTTGTCTACTAATTTAAATATCCAGATCCTCTGTAGGTCTGACTTTTTTCTTGATCATCAGTTATGTATTCTTGCCTCTTTATAGGTCTAGTTTTATTTTTTTGGCAAATTGGGCATATGTACAAAAGAATCATAGAGACTCCAAATAATATGTTCTGCTACAGAATTATCTTCTGTCTTGTATTAGCCAGATATGATAGGACTTGCCTCATCAATTCAGTTAGAGATTGAGATGGGTCAGGCTAAGCTGCACGTTTAGCAAAACTCAGTAAATTTTTGGTTTACCCCTGTTGCTAGGCGTGGCGCTCCCAGGATTTTGACTGAGACCCTAGAGTGTCTTGTGCTATGAAGCTCCAGGAGATCCAGCTCTGCCCTTCAGAGATTCCCAGGTCAGCTCTCTGGCCTTTTCATTTCCTTCAAAGTCTGGCATACGTCCTAAATGAGAGAATGTTTGTATGCTTGAGGCAAGTTTTCTTTCTCTGAGAGGTCTTTGTTTCCTGAAGACTTCAGGAGAGTTCACTCTGCCCTATAGAAGGCAAATGCCCCAGGGGGGAAAGCCAACCATGTGTCTCAAGTTCCTCAAGTTTTCATTTTGTCACACCAGTTGCACATGACTGTTAAAAGCTTTTCTGGGTAGTTTCCCTCTATCCTAGGCCCTCTGCCTGGCAAAACCGAGAATTAGAAAGTACCCCTGCATTCTTTTCAGAATGATTCTTTCCTCTCTGATATTTTAGTTAATCTATGCTTCACTGCTGCTGAAGCTCTCTGGTGCCTTCACAACTAATATTTTTGTAATTTATCTAGCTTTTTCTAGTCTTTTATCAGTGGGGCATTGGTTTACTACATCCTACCTAGAAGTTCCTGCAACCATATATTTTATCTACATATTTTGGCATAAATTCCTGAGTGATTTCTTATTTGGAGAAAATCTGTTTTGCTTTAGCTTTCTTAGTGTTATAACAAAAATCTTTATTCTTTCATTCCATCAAATGAATTCCTATAAAATTAATAAAAACAAATGTTCACTTTGGACAAAATTGAGACATCAGTTAGTACTATAACTTTGATCTAATAGTAAGTGTCGTTTTTTCCTGGTTAAGTTTTTAGTGGGTGAAAAAAGGAACCTTTAAACAAAAGTTACTCTGATTTTTTTTTTTAAGTGTTTTCTATTTATGCTCTTTTTGATCTCAGTCTTTTGGGACTTGTTCAAGAGTATCTTCCTCAATGATGGTTCTGTATATTAATGCCAACCAGTCTTCTATTTACCATTACATCTATAGGAATAGTTCAGTCTTTCTGGAAACATCTGTGATGCTAGATCTTGAATTTCCTTGTCTGATACTTGTATTAACACAGTGAGACAAGCAGTAGGTTCCAAGCTGTATTTTTCTGAGGTCATGGGAGGCTCATTCTTGGCTCCACTTTTTCTTTTCTCTAACCCCCACTGGAGTAGGATTAACATTTACTGAACATTTAATATGGATTTTGATGGTGAGTGTAGAGGGCCACAGCGCTTTACTTTCTCAATTCTCTCAACAACCTTATAAATAGGAAGAGCCTTAGAATCTAGAAGCAGTGTGCCAAGCTACATGGTCAGAGGGTTTGTGTGTGTGGCTGTGCTGGATGTTAAGGAAACATAGATGAAACCAGGTTTTCTCAACAGAAACTCTTGGTTGTAAGGTATCCTAATGGTCCTGAATAGTTTGTGATTTTCTTAAAATCAGATAGCTAGTAAATGGCTCACTGGAACTTTAAATCAGGTCACTGCTTCCAGATAAAAATTATATAGAATGTTAAAAATGTAAGAAACCAAAGGGTTCTCATGTCTTGCCACTGTCTAGTCCATTTTCCGACTGCCACAGGAGTAAGTTTATTCTGGAGCCAAGTAAGTGACATAATGAAGTCAAACTCCTTGGCATAGCATGTAGGACATCTGGTGATCTTTTTCATGATTTTCCCCACAGATCTGTGAACACCTGTTATAAGTCAGGTGCTGTGATAGGTGTGGGGCTTCAACACCAGATCCAGTTCCAATCTTAGAATAGTCTGCACATTTGTATGTCCTTATCTTTGTACCCATGGAACCTACCTCTCCAGCCTCCAGTAATCCTGAGCAACTTCTCAATTCCCCATATATCCATATTCTTTCAGACTTCTACTAGAATGGTTCTACCGTTTGTCAGTGTAGCCTCACCACTTGGGTTAGATGTCTTCTCTAACAGGGCTCTCCCTGACCACACACTAGGCTGGACCAGGCCCCCTTCCTGTGGGCTAAACTCCATCACAACACTCAATAGGGATCTCCTGTTTACTTGCCTGACTTCCTGACTAACTTGTGAGCTTACTAAACACAAGGACTATGTTTTATCCATCTGTGTGTCTCCAGGACTCAGCACGGTGTCTAGTCTACACTCAGGTGATGAATGTCTGTGTTCTGTTTTTGTCATGTCAGTTGCTCCTCAGGAACCTATGGGATCTGTTGGTTGCTTGTTCTAAGACATGACTCATCTGGTTTTGGGATACTTTGAATACATGACTCTTACATATATATCCAAACACATTCCTACCTATGTTCTCTCCACTTGTCTTTGTCCTCTGTCCTCTCTTTGTCCTCTTCACTCCTGCATCCTCTCTCCTCCTCTCCTCTCCCCTGCCCTCTCTCCACTCATCAGTCCTCTCCTCTCTTCCTCTAGTCATTAAGAAGCTCCTAGGTAAGTGTACTATATAGGATAAAAGCCGTGAGACAATTCAATTGTGGGGATCAGTGATGTCCTCCTGGACTATCTTTCAACTTGCATTAAGTCAAAGAAACTTCTTTTGCATATGAGAATATGACTCCAAGATGAAGACGTCAGCCCTTCCTACCCTTGGCACCTGCCTGAGATGAACCCGGTACCTCACTACTCTGACCCCTAACTGGGGTGTCACTCACCTTCTCACTGAGACCTGAGATTTCCAAGATTTGTGGATATGACTATTCACTGTGTGTGTGTTTCACACAGTTTGCTCTACCTGTCCCACACATTTACATTCTTGCTGAGAATACCACTAGTTGTATCAGAAGACATATAAAAATTTACAAGTATATTTATATCTGAAAAGTATATACTTTGTGGTGTTTTTTTAATTACTCACCACTGTCGATGGCCAGGAAGAGGGCAGTGTACACACTGTTGTGGACGAATGGGGACTCACGGTCCAACACGGCCATGGTGTCCACGGTCCCATTGATGGGGTTGATATTCAGCCAGCCTGCTGGGTCCTTGTAGACAGAATACCTGGAACAAAAAAAATCCCAAACAACGTCAGGTCAAATTCAAACTAAATTCATGAGATGCTTCCTGGATGCTGGACACAAATTGTATGCTAGGAGCCGGATGGAGCATAACACACAAGCAACACCAGTTCAGAAGGTTCATTCAGAAAGTCCTGGCTGATCCCCAGCTCTGGGCAAGCTTCTGTGCCAAACATTTTGCACACTCACCCTCTTTGTCCCCCACAAGAGAGACAACTGAGAGAGGGTGCACTTGTCATCTGCCCAGACTTCGGTAGCGGCAGGGCAGAGTTCCAAGCCAGTCCCTGACTCTGAAGCCCAGTTTCTTTCTTTTACCCCCTGGGTGCATTGTGGGCCAGTCAGGCTGGGGGCAGTAGAGGCAGAGAGCGTGGCACCTGGAGGAGAAGTCATTGCTGCTGATCTAGAGTCACCTCTGATCAGAGGATGTGACATCTTAATGGAGACAGGAGGAACGGGCAGGGCGTTGTCAGAGAGTGAGAGGACAGACAGGTCAGCAACAGAGAACAATTGTTTAACCCATGAAGCAAAAGTATTCACTAGAATGGAGTTCCATGAGGGCTAGGATGTTTGCTCACTGCTCTGACCTCAGCTCCTAGTATAGTGCTCAGCACACTGTTGCTGTTAACTGCTGTTGAGTCCACTTTGACTTGTGGCAAACTAATGTACAACAGAATGAAACGCTGCCTGGTCCTGCGTCATCCTCATGACTGCCAGCATGTTCTAGTACATCATCGCAGGTATTGTGCCCGTCCACCTCACCGAGGGTCTCCCTTGTCCTGGTTGGCCCTCTGTTCCACCAAGCATGATGCCCTGGTCAGACCCATAGAATTTTCATTGGCTAATTTTTGGAAGTAGATCGCTAGCCCTTTTTTCCTAGTCTGTCTGAGTCTGGAGGCTGTGTCAAAACCTAGCCACCATGGGTGTCTCTGCTGGTAGGTAAAATACCAGGGGTATAGTTTCCAGCATCACGGCAACACACAAGCCATCACAGTATGACAAATTGACAGATGACTGGTGGGCTTAGCATATACACGACAATTTATAGGTGTTTGCTGAATTAATGAATATTTAGGAACTTGGAAGTTGAAGGTTGTGGTTGGAACATAGCTTCGCTGGGGGAAACTGAAAGTACAGGAGTTTGGAGAGGCAGATTGGGCCAGATGATAGAGCCTGAACAACTGTGATAGGCGGTTCATCTGGATCATAGGAAACCATCAAAGAATTTTTAAATGTTATACATTTTTTGAGGTTGTAAAAGTAATACATGTTCATCATCAGAAATTAAAGTCTCACTGAGCAAGACTCAGATTTTTTTTGCTCTGGGTGACTTGAATGAGGTAGGATTGGCTCAGTGCCTCGTTACCAGCTGCTTCAGCTGGCGCTGTCCTGCCACGCCTCAGTCTGACCAATATCCTCCTGAAGAGACACGAGAACTCGATCGTGCATCAGTCTGGCCAGGATGCTGGAATATGACCATCTCTGCCTTCTCTGCCTCCCCAATTTAACCAACAGGATTGCAAATTTCACAATAAAGAGGCTGGAACAAATTACCACCCTCGTTTTCGCAGTAGGAATCCCTGGGTGGCACAAACAGTTAAGCGCTTGACTACTAGCCAAAAGGTTGGCAGTTCAAATCCACCCAGAAGTGTCTTGGAAGAGAGGCCTGGCAATCTGCTTCTGAAAGGTCATAGCCTTGAAAACTCTGTGGAGCAGTTCTACTCTGCACACATGGGGTCACCATGAGTCGGAAGAGACTCTGATGGCAACCAGCCAACAGCAGTCTTCACAGTGGGGAAGCAGCACCCAGAGCAGACCCGTGGAAGGGGAGCTACTTGTTGCTCATGGGGACCCTGTTCTGATCGTGAGCCAGCCAGGCACTGCATGAAGACCTTGCCCGCGTCTCCCCGTTCACCCTGACAACTCTGAGAAAACACACTCATCCTGCAGCAACGGAGGGAGAACTGGCGCTGGCCGGGGCCCGGTCCTCCCCCTAGGCCATACTGGCACGGCAGTAATAGACCACATTCTGGATGACTACAGAGCCTGTGCTTCTGATGCAGACTATGCTTATCTCAAAGTAAATTTCCTTTGAATGAATTTTGAACTAGATTTGATGGAAAAGGAAAACTTGAGGGGTAAGATAGACAGGAAAACAGATTCAGATAGACTGGCCCACACTTCCTCCTTCAGTGAAACTTGAGGGCAGAGGAGGAGTGCACCCTGAGTTAGGGGTGCTCTAAGAATAACTGCGTTTAAGACTGGGCCTGTGGAGGCCCAAAGCCACAGCTATGTCCTCTGGCCCTAGCCCCATGCTGCCTGTCCATGGCTCTGTTCTTCCATCCCAGACACAGGACAGAGAGGGCCTTCGCTCAGCATGTGTTGGGAGTCTAATAAATTAAATGCCTTAAGAATCCATGTGTTCCATCACGCCTTCACACCCCAACCCCAATACGTGCCAAATAGCTGTTTGGAACTCAGAATGTACGCCATCACTCTGAGTTTGAAATCATGGCTCAATAAAATTGGGCAGGGGCGAGGGGAAGCATTAGCAAAGCCTTTAGTTAGGCTATGGGTTAAACAGGATTTTGTAAAAACGTAACCATCAAATGCCATGTTTACCTTAGGAAGATGCTTTCTACGTTCCAAATAACTGACTTGCTAATGGTTTTAGAGAGTACCTTATTGCTGAGTTAGGAACTGTCTCTTCTCCTGGGCATTGCCCTAGAGAGGGTCACATGAAACTTGGCTAAAAGACATTTGAGTTTTTTGGATTGATTTTTCACGTGACCTGCCTGCTGGCTGCTATAGGAAGTTACTGAAATGCCGACTCAGGTAGCAGCTGGTAGACCCTGAGTCATGTGGTTACACAGATGGTTGTTTTGGGGCACAGACCCAAAACATAGATGGATTAAATTGTGGCCCCCAGAGTATGTGTTGGAATCCTAACCCCTATCCTTATGAATGTGATCCTGTTTGGAAATAGGGGTTTCTTTGTTATGTTAATTAGCCCATACATGAGTATAGCGGGTTCTAAATCTAATCACTTCTGAGTTAGAGCAGAATAGACAGAGATACACACATGGGGGCAGACAGATGCAGTGTGAGGCTGGTCTACAAGCCAAGGATCCAAGGAACACCCTGGAATCAAGGACCACCTGAGACTACCGACAAGGAAGGAATTGACGTGGCCAAGGCCCTGATCTGGACTTTTAGCCTGCAGAACTGTGAGACAATAAATGTCTGTTCTTTAAAGTCACCCACTTGTGGTATTTGTGAGACAGCAGTAGTAGCTAACTAAGACAGGAGGGTGACCCTTGTGATTTCATGGGGCACAGTGGAGGGCAGGGAAGGGCGCGGCTACCTGCAAGTCACCCACCACTGCATGCTGTGTGAATCAGACCACAGACAGACATGCTAGTGGACACTGGGGTCAGGCCATCCAGCCCAGTGTGTCTTCTCCTTAAGTGATCCACACTGTCCCCCTAAATGTTTGGGAAATACCTGACTCAGCTGAGCCCCAGGGGCCAATGGCTGGTAATCAAAAGGTTGGCGATTGGAACCCACCCAGTGGTGCTGAGGAAGAAGGGCCTGGCAATCTACTCCTGTAAAGATTACAGCCAAGAAGACTCTGTGGAGCAGTTCTACTCTGTAACAGATGGGTTGCCATGAGTCGGAATTGATGCAATGGCACAAGACAACAACAAACACGGACTTCCCCACACTCACTTGCTGCCTCAATTATTTTTCAGTATTTCTTAAAAACAGAAAAGCTGTGTTACTTATGAGGATGAACTGCTTTAAAAGCACCATTCCTTCATTTACATTGTAATTTTCACTTCCATCTTGCAAACACCCACTATCTTTCAAGACCCAGCTCAAATATCTCTTCCCTGTCACTGAATGACACCCCAGTTAGAACTAACCCTTCCCTTCTCTAGATCTTTGCTGGGTGCACGCACATACTAAAATGCCTGCTACAGTATAACACGGGCACTTATCTGTCTGCCTCCACCGGACTCAGCTCCTGGATGTCAGTACGTTAAACTTGGCTGTAATTACTGAATGTTCACTTGTGCCCAGCTCTGTGCTAAACACATTACAGGCATCCCCACATTAATTTCTGTGATTCATAACAACCTTATGAAACTGGTATCATCCGTGCTTTAAAGATGAAGAAACCAAGATTCAGAGACGCTTAGCAAGTTGCCAAACGTAGCACAGCCAAGAGTTGGCAGAGCTGGAATTCCACCCAGGTCGGCTGGATTCCAGGGGCTGGGTTTAGCTAGTCTGCAGTCTCTGCCTCAGGCATAAGACCAAGTGCTGGCCCTTCTGTACCCCCAGGGCTGGTGCCTGGCCTGTGCTTGTGCCCAGTCAATCCTTACTGCATCTTTCCTGTTTCAGCTGGAACCATCATGGGAAGGGAAAATACAAAGAAAGGAAGCGTTTGATTCCTATCTTATATCAGGTAGCAAGTTCACAGCTGACCCAGAAGTGATTTGCGATGGTTCAAAACATTTGAGATAATGAAAAATTTAAATGGACTGTATTTTATTCCCTGATTACTCAACTCAGCCTTTAGAATATAAATAAAAATTGAATAAAATAACCTGGCTTTTCACACTGGCAAACCAGCAAGGCTCTTGGTTTCTCCCTCTATCATTTTTTGTCATCTGATGCTACAATTTTGCAGTGCAATTAACATGATTGCTTCTTTGATAAATGGAGTGGTTACATTCAGTGAAATGCTTGGAGACACGAACTTGAAGCTATCCTCTGAAAACAATACCCAGAGCAGTTAGGCCTGAATTCATTACTTTTACACAGAAAGCAAGGGCTTGAGAGGTTTTGCAGGATAGTGTTTCACTATTTTTCTTCCTCAACAAAAATAATCAGGTATCCATAGTTGTGCTACTTAATTGTGTTTTCACAGGGTCCTTTAATTTTGTTTCCTTCTATTAGTTTATTTCTTTGGTGCCTTATCCC